GCAGTATGGAGACGACAAATCATCATAGAACATGGGGTCACAAACTATGTTTAGTCGGATTAATTCGCAAAAGCAGTTATGAAGGGTATGATGAGTGGAATGAAAAGGGGCAATAAGAAGCAAGAAATGCATTTATTATGCGTGAAGCATGTTTACAATACGAACAATGCGTCACAGCTCAACGACAAGTGATTATCCCAGGAATTGTTTGAAAACATGCATTAATGAATCGTAGCATGTATTAATGAACTACTCACGCGTTAACCCTTTCGTCAGCCCATCTATTTCTATTAACAATTTATTATATATTTATATATTAACAATTAAACAATAGCATTTAAGGAAATATTTCATTTTGCCAAATTTTATGTTTACATTTAAATTTTAGGGGTAGGAAGAATACTTCCTAAGAAACCATTCACCGTCATAATTTTTTTTTAATGGTGATTATTATTTGCCATGAAAAGATGAGAAGCATGTTGTAATGCACAGGGGACATCACATGTAGTGGGTTCTCTCTTTTCTTGTCTCTTTCCACAGCACACATTTCCGAGCTGGTAACCCCCTCTCCCTAACTACCACACAGTGCCAACGGGAGGACGTTTGAGCTCTCGACAGATTCAACGTGCATCGCTCCTCTACAAGGCAAGTGTTCAGCGGTACTAGGCTCGAACTCATGACACGCCGGCCATGAGCCCGTTACCTTGACCACTAAGCCACCGTGGCCTAACTTACCACAGTACATGAAGCTATTAATGATGTCAAGGTCAATAATAAAATAAAAGATACGATGCCACATTTTTATAGATTTTTTATTTGGTATTTTTCTTTTCTCTGATCGAAGCTATCAACCCCTTTCATGACATCGTTATATAGAACTACAGCTTTTAGAAAAGGTACTTCTTTAGTTCCATCTTTTGTTTGTCCGATTTGCAGGTGTCATAATCGCAGAATTATGTGCAATAGCACAAAATTTAATCGAGAATTAGTCTTCCCATCGTTATAATAGCAATGCCAATGTATTATAAAGGGTTTTTGCGGTTCCCACAAGGTGTAATTTGTTAGATCATGTAAATTGGAAGTAATCTTCCCAAGGCCCACGAAAGGGTTAAAATAATTTGAAAATGTTTACGTAAAGCACACACACACACACAACTGTTTCTATCAACCCACCTCTCAAAACGAAACAATTCGAAGTATTTAATCAATTGCTTGAGTATAAATTTGTCTTAAAAATGAAATAAGAGGTTTAAACTTTTTATGTTTACATTTTATTTTTCCTCAAATGTTTTCTTCATAGAAAATGTTTACATTTCTCATAAAATAGTACATCAGATAAATTTCATTAAAATTCCTTCCACGTTGATAAGAAACAAATTCAAAAATTTAAACCAAGTGCCATAGATGTTTCTGTCATGACTTGTTTTTATAATGTTTTCAATAATTCTCCCAAGAGGTCATATCCAGTTGTACAAAATTTCCATTTTGTAACCGAGAAGTATTTTTAAACTTTCCAGAGTTTAAGGTTTTTAGTAGTCTTCTAAAGTAGAAATTTGAAATTTATATTTATATTATGTTTATACTAAATATAAATTGCACTTATGTATAATCTGTTGTTTCTATTGGATTTAAAATATGATGCAATACATCTAAACATTTCCTTCACGTAGATATATTACACCTTAAATAATAATGAGTTTCCGTATATTTATTTTACTTAGAAACCCGTGAAAGAAACAATACTTTTCATGTTAAATTTTTTGACTACGTTTCATTGCAGCCCGGAACCGGATTTGTGTGCGAGTTTAAGGGATTCATTTTATCTTGCTCAAATAAGTAATATCTCGAAGTGTTCTTTTAGCTTCTAATAATGTAGTGCAAATAATTAATCACAAGGTATTAATAAAAAGACATTTTTTTAAAAACGTAAAATCTTAATTTTAATCGCACTTGAAAGTATTGTTAGATTGGCAAACTGTTGAAATAAATCTTTAATGCAAGTGAACAAGAAAAGTGGTTTAAAAATGCTAATTATTGACATAGAATATTTGCGGGGGTTCATATATTTCTTTTAATTTTATATTTTTCCAAGCATATTGAAACTTTTATAAGAAATCGCTAAGATTAAATTTTACATAACTGCTACGTTAAAAAACATTCTTTCCTCCAAAGTGAATTTTATCATTTCAGCTTAATAAAATTGTAGATAAAGTTTTATTTAAATTTTATTTTTAGGATCTAGAAGTAATCAATTATTGTTGGCATAGATTTTAAATTTTGTATTTATGCATGGAATATGACAAGCAGAAAAGTATTAGAAGTATACCGTATATTTCCGCGCATATAAGCTGAGATTTTTAACTTTTGGGGTGTTTTTTAATGCAGTCTTGATTTACAAAAGGGGATAAAGACAAATTCCTCATCATAAATTAAAATTCAGCATCAAAAACCGAGTTTTTGAATGGTTCTTAAAATTCACATTCATTCATTGAGATGTCTGAATGCATTTGATTATTACGGGAAAGGAATTTTTCCAGGGCATGATACATAATGATCACGTACTGCCCTTTTGATTTTACCATCAGCCCTAATTAGAGATGTTTTTTCTCCATTCGCGAATCTTCATATAAAGAAATGTCGAGCAGCCAAATTGTGAGTAGAATTTTCAGCAAACGAGATCACTTGTAGTTTTTGAAATTGGCCGTATGCGAATTTTGTTTCCGTTAATTTTCCAAGCCAAAAGAAAAAAAATGGTACAGAAAATAACAAAAGTACAGATGTATACAAGATAACAAACCAATAGGGGTAAGTGTATTTATTTCAGATAAAGGCTATCACAGAAATAAAATTATCGTCGTTTTCGTCAGGTGTTTCATTTTACTGCAGTTTGATTAGAAAATATTCCGCGCGATTTACCCGCTTGGGAACACTTTGGCACTCATAGCGACGTGTTTGAATAGTGAGAGAGTGAATATTAACATCGCACTGTTCAGCTACGGGAGGGCATTTGGCGATTGACCTCGTAATTTTGAACCATGGTCTATTGACGAGGACGACACCACAACATGTTTGAAAATTACGTTATTTACAAAACCGGTTTATTTACGGCAGCGTTTCTCACACTGTAGGCCACACTCCACTAGGGGGGCTCGAGCATATTGAAAAGACGAAAATAAAAGATTTAAGAAAATTATTAATTTATGGAAAGTGAATAAACAAAATACATTCAGGCATAATAAAAAATAAAATACACATTTACTACACTGACATAAAACACTTATAAATGTATTAGTACTGCACAACATGTTTTATAATTAACTAAACAATACTAAGTTACGAACAAGTTTAATAATTACCGGTGATCTCATGCGTTTGTCATATAAAAAAATTATATCCAAAAATTTATATTTATCTTGGTAATTTCTCTCTCTCGTACGGTTTGTAATTAATCCCTTAACTGCCAATTAAAAGTTACGCGATTCGCTCCCCTATGCCACCATTTTATACGTAGGTGCGCGTATGTGTTGTATTGGGGGAGAAGAAGAATTAAAGAAATCCTCCGAAATAAGTAAATCCTTCGCAAACACTGTCAAGGTCCTTTTTACTGCTTTCCAAAGCCTTCGGAATAATTTTATGGATAGCACAGTGAGCAGAAAAGATCGTACTTCGGAAAGACGTATATATACGTTCGGGGCAATTATTGCTTTGGTTGAGCGAGACGTTTATCTACATCAGCGGCACTTAAGAGGTTAATGCTGTGCTGCAGCTTTAGTGTCAAAGCATAGTATTGTTGAATTCAATACAATGTTATTTTGTGGAGGAGGCGCAATAAAAATTATGATTGAATATTGGGTCACAAAGAGTGAGAGTTTGAGAATCATCGATTTATACGGATTTCAAATTTTGGGTAAATATTTGAAGGAAAAACTCATATCGGCTTATACACGGATGGGCTTATATTTGGAAAAAACGGTATAGCAATCCATCTTCATGTCATCATCACTACTGCCACAATTAATTTTTGCAAATATTTCTGAAACACGATATAAAACAAAGCTTCACTTTTTTGTTATAGAAAAGATAATACAAAGCATTACTCTCATTCTTTTGAATCAATGTCAATAGCTGAAGTAATGAGACTAAATTAACCGAAACCAGATCAAATTTACTTATACCAAGGTCATAAGTAATGATATAGTCACGGTATTACAATGTTCTTATGTTGTAAGATCACGTATAGATTATTATATCGAAAGATGTTCGATGTACTAGATGTGATCAAAAGTTTGTCAAATAATCTTCAATGATATTCTTATGATATCTTCAAGTCGTTTGATCACATGTATCTTACTGTTTGCGGATTTTCAGTTAAGCAGATAGAAACAACATTTCCTTCTCATTCTTTTTAAAATCATTTTAAAGGGAATACAAACAAAGAGGACCTCTCAATTCAATAGGTAAATTAATCTCTTCAGATCAAAAGATTTAACTTTCACAATGAGCCGTATTGTACTCCGCGAGAACAATATATTGGGTAAAATTTTAGAGAATTAGAAAAAAATACTTTAGAATCCGATTTTTTTTTTATTTTAAGTACAGAAGCTTTTCCTTCAAATATAATGTTAATACTGTGTAACATTGTGATATTTTTTACTAGAAATATTTGATAGTAGTTTCATGTAAAACAAGTAATATAAAAAAAAAATTTTTTAAGTCAATTCCTACTTAGTTCAACAAAGAAATTTTTTTTTTTTAGAGTTACTATTTATTAAATAATTACAATTAATATAAATGTGTATATACATATGACAGAATCACAAAATTAAGTGCAAAATAGATAGGAAAATTGAAAATGTCAAGGAAAATTGATTTCTATATAGGGTTTTCGACTATTCTCTCCTCTCTCTTTTTGTTTGTTACTATTTATTCATTCATTAAACTTAATTATTCTAATAAAATAATATAGTAAAAAAGAAATCCCACATTCACAGAAAGTAGGGCATCCCAGGTGGGATTCGTACTCACGACCTTTGGATTTGAAGTTCAACACTCTATCCATTGAGCTACAGGGACACAACGAGCGCTTTTCCTTTTTATACATGGAGTTGGATATTATTTTTGTTTCTTTTTATTCATTAATTAAATTTAATTAATGAATTAATATTTGAAGAAACTCCATTAAGGTATCCACCTACGTTCGGAATCGTGATTTTGCAAAAGCATATAAATGGATAATATTTATGTTATTTAGTGTCACTTAGATTAGAAAATGTATATAAAGTTGTTTTAAGAATATTACTACAATAAAAAATTATTTAAGTACAATATTTTCACAAAAAATGAACACAGAATGACCGATTTTCAAAATATTCTCCTTTTGTGAAAAATGCTTCTATTATAATAATATTTTGCCTGTATATAGGTCAGACCTCACTTCAGAGGCTCAACTACAATTTTTGACATACAAAACTTAGAAGTGGGTTTATACATATTTTACGATATCAGAAGGGAGCAATTTTAAGAAAAAAAACGCCGATAATTATTTCAATGGTGGTAACTCTGAAAATAATGTGAATTTTTTAAAACTCCTAGTTCAGACTCTCTGGAGAAGTCTTTACTTTATATAAGCAAAATATTATTATTTTAGAAGCATTTTTTATAAAAGCAGAATATTTTGAAAAAAGACTGTTCTAAGTTAATTTTTTGCCAAAATATTGCATTTAAATACTTTGTTTTTTGTCAATATGTCCTTAAAACAATTTTATACATGTATTCTAATCTAAGTGATCTAAATATCATTGAAATTATCCATCTATGCGGGGTTTTTTTAAATCATTTTTAATTCATCAAATAAATTTCCGGATTGAACACGTGAAATTCAATTGTCTTTTATAATCTGTAATTTATATACAGGGTGTTGCCGAATTCTACGGACAAATTAAGAGGGGTAATAGTAGGCAGTATGGAGACGACAAATCATCATAGAACATGGGGTCACAAACTATGTTTAGTCGGAATAATTCGCAAAAGCAGTTATGAAGGGTATGATGAGTGGAATGAAAAGGGGCAATAAGAAGCAAGAAATGCATTTATTATGCGTGAAGCATATTTACAATACGAACAATGCGTCACGAATGAATTATTGAATATTAATGTCGCACTGTTCAGCTACACGAGGGCTTTTGGCGACGGACCACGTAATTTTGAACCATGGTCAAGTGACGTGGACGACACCTGAACTACCACACTACACCAACGGGAGGACGTTTCAGCTCTCGACAGATTTAACGTTCATCGCTGCCCTACACGGCGGGTCTGTAGTGGTACTGGGTTCGAACTCGTGACAAGGCTAGCCACGATCCGATACCTATACCACTCGGCTACCGCGGCCACCACGTTGTTACGGAAGTAAATCTCCTGGTGTAAAAGCTATAAAGTGATGGCATGAAAGGTTTGAAGAAATAGGCAGCGTTAAGGAACTTCCTGGTGAGTGAGTGAATATTAAGTCGCATGTTCAGCAACGAGGGCTTTGGCGACGGACGTAATTGAACCATGGTCAAGGACGTGGACGACACCACTTAGCACCTCTCCCAACTACCACACCACACCAACGGGAGGACGTTTCAGCTCTCACAGATTTAACGTGCATCGCTGCCGTACACGGTGGGTCTTTAGTGGTACGGGGCTCGAACTCATGACATTTCCATGTCGATACTTAACCACTGGGCACCGCAGCTAGGAACTTCCTTGAAGTATCAGGCCAAGTAACTATTGAAACAACTGCTGAACTTGACACTGGCGGGAACTGGAATACCACTTAGACATTCTCCGAGCTTTCGGGGAAGCACACGTAGGAATTTATTGAGAAAATTTATAATAGTACCACAATATGTCTAATTATAATAGTTTGAGCACAATAAATATTTATAATGAGGGCAAGACTTCAGGTTCATCCCCTATGCAAAAACTATTGGGAGCATCATGTTTTTCCCAGTTACCCCTCAAACTGAAATTTAAATTACACTGATTTCGTAGTAGAAAGGGGGGTTTTTTTCTATGAAAAAAAGGGTTACCCGAAAAAAAAAAAATGAGGTAATCGAGAGAGCTCTTTGAAGAGACTTTTAATAAAGAAATAAATTAGAAAAAAAAAAAATCGGTTTCCAATTCTTCCAAATAAAAAGCTTAAAACAAGTCACTTCTCCACACTGTTCAGATAAGACTTAATAACAAAGATTCTACTTAAAATAGAAATATGATTGTTTAAATTACTTGCAACAGTGTTTATGAATTAATGAGTTTTCGCGGCATTCGCAAGGAGTTTTTAAGACCATTAACTTGCAAAATAATGTGAATGTCTAGTTTTCGATTTATATTAATGTTTGAATTATGTAAATAAAAGCAAAAATGCGTTGGTTCTGTGATAAGGGTAATTCGTATCCAAATTTGAGTGATGAATTTGCAAAAGATTTAGTGAAATATTTAAATATATATGAATACTGTGTAGAGTATATTAATAAGAAATTCGATTTCTGAATATCACGCGTGACTCAGTTTACTTGATTGATTAAATATAAACGTCGCACTGTTCAGCTACACGAGGGCTTTTGGCGACGGACCACGAAATTTTTGGGAACCAGGGTAAAAGTGACGTGGACGACACCTAAAACGGGCCCCCTCCCCAAAAAAGGGGGACTTTTCCAGTTCTCGACAGGTTTAACGTGAAATTTTTCCCCCACACGGCGGGTCTTTAGTGGGAAAGGGGCCTGAACTCGTGAAAAAAAAAAACCACAAATCCGATACCTATCCCCCTCGGCTCTCCCCCCAGTCACTCATTTTTTCCAAATGCTTCACTTATTAACATTTTAGAAGAATTCATTAATGGTTTTTCACGATGAACTTTGTAATTTTATGCAATGATGAGAAAGTGAGAATTATATTAACGTTGCACTATAAGCCAACATGAAGGCTATTAGCGTCGGACTTCGGTCAAATAACGAGGACGACACCCGGAGCTGGCACCACTTCTTCTAACTACCACATCAACGGGAGAACATTGAGCCTCGATATATTTAACCTGTGTCGGACTCTCTACACGGTGGGTCTTCAGTGGCACCAGGACTCGAACCCGCAACACCTTACCGTACCAAATAAGCATTTGGGCTCGATTACGCTTAATGTACGACTTCACCCATGATTCTCGCGACAGTCTTTGGTGGAGTGAGTATTAACGTCCCACCGTACAGCTACACGAGGGCTTTTGGCGACGGACCACGTAATTTTGAACCATGGTCAAGTGATGTGGACGACACACCCTCTTTTCTAACGACCATATCACACCAACGGGAGGACGTTTGAGCTCTCGACAGATTCAACGTGCATCGCTGCCCTACCACGGCGGGTCTTTAGTGGTACTGAGCTCGAATGTGAAAAAAGCCATCAAACCCCCGGGATGCCTTGACCACTCGGCTACCACGGCCAGCAGTCTTTGGTGGAAATAGAACGTCAAATTGGCTCGAATCCCACCAACTACAAAGCTCGAGATATGAAGAACTGTTTTTAACTAGTGGTTAAAACTGCACTCTATAACCTCAGGAACACTTCTTAATTAGGAACAAAACATTAAAATATTAGAAAGAAAAAGAATGTTATAATGCAATTTTATCCACTTATTAAATTCCTTATATTAGTATTTTGTTTTCCGAAAAAGGCAAAAAATTTTTAAGTTTTACATTTGTATAAATTTCAAGTACAGTTTTCCCCCAAATTACCTTCCAAATTTATAAACAGTCAATGAAATTTTCACACTAAACTTTCTTTAAGCAATGTGTGATAAATGTTAAAATTATCTCGAGGGATAATGTTTATTTATGTTATATATCAATGAAAGTTACTTGATAGGGGCAAAAACATTTTTTTGTTCTTTTTATCTCCCAAAATTTTAAAAAAAGCCGTTTTATAACCAAAATTTTCAGTTCATGCGGTGTTCAAAATTTATTTGAATTTTTTGCAGTTCGGAAATGATGGAATACCTTTGGTTTAAAGTTCTAAATGATTTTAGAAATTTTGCACTTAAGCGAAGAAATTATCGAAAATCGAAATTATTTCTCTTTTCTACAAAATTAAATAAATTAATAAAATACCGTTTAAAACTTTATACGAGGAAATAAAATTAAAATTCTGACCCTATCAAGTAACTTTCATAGTGATAATTATCATAATTAAATACATGTCCGAAAAATTTTTGGGAAAATTTTTCACATTGCTTAAAGCAAAAGGGGGGAAAAAATTTAAGACTTAAATGGGGGGACTTTGCATATTTAAATGTAAATTTATCGCTTTCACTTATTTTTAAAAAAATTCCTACTATTAGTTTACACTCTCCCTATATAGTATATAGGGTTATTTTTAGATTCGGTTGGGTACCGCTCGATTAATATCATGGGTAATTTCTTGCTTGATTCCCGTGACAGTGAATTTTTGTTACCGCAAAAAATCAACAATCCTTTAAATTCTGGAACTAAACCATTTGTTGATTTTTCAGGTTCAATTTCTTGTAATGTCATTGACATGGAAAAGAAGTAAACATTTTCTTGTTTATGGCTTCTCTTTCATCTTCTTTTCATCGCTTTAAAATGAAAAAGGGCTTGTAAAAAATTAAAAGGGGTTTGGGGAATTTTGGGTTTTTTCGGGGTTAAAAGAAAGGAAAAATTTAATGATATTACGACTTCACTAAAATTTAGAAAGGGGATTTTTTTTTCATACTTCCATTTTTTAAAACCGGGGTTGATTTATTTTTTCTGGTATATTTTTTCGGGATTTTTTTTAAACCCATACCGTAATGTTAAAGGGCTTTTCCTTCACGTATTTAAAACAAAAAAAAATTTACTGAATATTTTGAAATTTTTAAAACACTAGATTGTTAAAAAGAGGGTTTAAAAATTTTAATATTGCAAAATTTTCCCTGGAAATAAGGTCATTTTTTTGTCTGAAAATTTTGTTTCGCGTTTAGTTAACCCTGACTTTTAACGAAACAGCCTTTAATATAACATTACATTGAATATAATTTTTTAAAA